TGGAGATTCAGAAAAGGAGGCTGCACCGTTAGACAAACTGGTTGAGCGTATGCCATTTACTTCAGCCAGCGAGCTTCTCGTGTGGGCACCGTAACACGGGAGACGTCAGTTATGACCATGAGGCCAGCGTACAACATGGAGGAGAAAGTTAGTGCTGGAGCTAGTTTCGAAGAAGTATATTTCCTTCTGCGATTCAGTTGCCTATGTGTTGTAGGAAAAGCATTGAGAAGCTGCGAATACTGCAGACATCACAAGTCAGACACGTTCTGTTTCTGTAAACGGCTCAAAGTGATGATTTCTGCGAATTTAACAAACACCTGTTTTTATGGATTATGATTTCTTCTTGATTGCCTCCATTAACGACAACAATCGCTTATGACGCATTCGACTTCAGAATAGGGCACAGATTTTTCATGAATTTCCCTATTCATGGATATTTGCATGGTCATTTTGAGTCAAATCAGCCAACGTTTTGTTTACTGAAATGCGTCGCTTGCTAATTGGGTAAAAATGTGCCACAGTCATATCAGACTGTGTGGAAGTAAATTTTGGAATCTCTGGCATGATCACAGCTAAAGTTATGATGTTTCTAGTATTTGAAGGTCCTTCATAGTTTCTTATCGGTTTTTGATTGGTTACACCTAAGCAGAGTGAAATTCATTGCTGATAAGAAATAGCTGTTAATGAATAAAATTAGAAGCTGGCTGATGCTGATACCCAGATTCTGGTTCGAAAACAAGAACGTTGGAGTTGCTGTCTGACGCATCCGTCCGTCTCCAATACCCTAAAGGATAAACAATCATCAAAATTGTCTGACTTATAGAGCAAACTTGCTCAACGCTTGAATTCGAACCTATAACATTAGTGCTTAAGTTCGACCGACTGGCAAACTGCTCTATTGCTCCGCCTGTCTAACCGAGGGCCGTGTAATTTCCATAATAACAGCGCTAGTGCGTTGTAAAAAAGGATATACAACATAGATTCGATTTTCGTAATGGGAGTAAAGTTCTAACGTTTGCTGCCATACTTGAGGTACTTCTGCCAGCTAGCCTGATAATCAGTTTTATTTTGGTTCGATTTTTCTCAGCCTTATACATTTATTGTTTTTTGAGTCCTTTTGCTCAGTTCAGTATGCTGCATTTTTGGCTAAATTATTTTACTAATTATACGTATTAGATTTTTTATATTTCTTTTAATTCGTCCGCCATCGTAAATTTGTAAAACTGTCTCAAGAATATGTTGCCCCGCACAACTCGAATCATTTCTTAGTAAATATCTTCTGTGGAGCATCATTCTTCTTGC